AACCCTCAGTTTGTTTCTCAGAGTCCATAGTCTCTCATGGTTCGTCTCCTGCTCCGATTTCCCCCCCTTCGTTTTTCCCTTCCTGCTATCTTCTTCTTTTTTTTTTTTTTTTAACATATATTATTTGTTTCAGAGGTATAGGTCTGTGACTCATCAGTCTTACTATAGCAGCAATGTCCACAATAGCCAAACTATGGAAAGAGCCAAAATGTCCATCAACAGATGAATGGATAAAGAAGATGTGGTGTGTACACACACACACACACACACACACACACACACACACACACACACACACTGGAATATTACGCAGCCATCAAAAATTTGAAATCTTGCCATTTGCAACGACGTGGATGGAACTGGAGGGTGTTATGCTGAGCGAAATAAGCAATCAGAGAAAGACATGTTATCAGATGACCTCACTGATACGAAGAATTCTTCATCGCAGGAAACACCTGGGCTTTTAAATTCCTTCTTGCTTGGTTCTGTGTGGACTGCCACAGGCTGTAGGGAGGGAGGATTGGTAAGGGGCCAAGGGCACACACTTGCGATAACTTACTGTGTTTATCCAGTGAGCTTGCCCCTGTCGGGTCTTGCCAGGATAGCAAAGGTGTAGGCCCTTGTGACCTTAGCCTTCCTCCGTGGTCCAGCTCACCTGTCTCTGCTTTCAGCGGGGACAGCTGACACTCCTGTCGTATTCGCAAGGGTAATAGGGTGCAGTGTTACTGGTTTCTGGTTTGGCCTTCATTTGACTCGGTGCCTGTGCTAAAACCCAGCACGTAGATGCCTGGAGTTGCATCTGGTGGGAGCTTCAGGCTCTAGTTTGGATAGACTGGTTTCCAAAGTGTATATATTCTGTGGACCCGGGCAAACTGCATCATGAATTTAGGAGACCCCTCATTCCCTGCAGGTTTTTGTTCTAGTGTCCCTTTGTCACAGAAGCCTTCCCCAGCCACTTGATGGAGAATAGCACGCCTCCTCCCCACGCGTCCTCCTCCTCCTGCCTGAATGTATCTCCACTTGAGATACATGTGTCCGTTTATTGGTTCTTGCACTAAAATGGGCACTCTGTGAGAGCAAGGGCTTTGCCCGCTCTGTTTATTGTGGTGTCTTTAGCACCTTAAACAACATGGGAACTGTCATATGTGTCCAGTAGAAATCTGTGGACTAAATGCAAGACTGGAAAGAGGCTTGCTGAAGCGGTATGCTACCGGTCTATCCATAAAAGGGCCTTGTTCCCAGGAGAAAGCAAGGTGCCCTTTGTAGTTGCTTTCTAATTCCTAATTTCTTCGAGCAAACATTCATCCAGCACTTGGAGCCAGGTGTGAAAGATCACAGCCCTGCTCTCCCAGGGTTCTCGGACTGGTGGCGGATGCAGACATTTGCATTAAATCCCTTCTTTAAGATGTAACTCTGGTATCAGCTCTCCTGGGAGCCTTTCTTGAACACTCTTCCTCCCCAAAGCAAGGTTAGGTGCCATTCTTCCCATTTGCATAGCATGCCCTGCAGAGCTTGACCGTGGCCCACATGTAAAGCAGACAAGTACCGTACAGTGTGCTTTCTGTTTCCCCTTACGAACTCCTTAAGAGCAAGGATTGTACTTTACTCTTTTCTGAGTAGAACAGCTGACATATAGAGCACTCAGTAAGTAGGAGGTATCCTTGTGATTACTGCGGTTACTATGTGCATTCAGTAACCAGCATTCATATAGCTGTGTATGTGTGTAATCTCACTTAAAATATTCTGACGCTATTTAAGGCTTAGAAACAGCTCTGTGTTGTTCTGTAATATGATATAATGTTGTCTTCTGCAGTATTCCCTGTTTCAGGCTCTCCTTGTGTTCTGGTGATGCAGTGATCATTTAGACTGGTGTGGGATCTTTACCAAGAGTTCTTAGGGTTCCTAGATGCAGGCTGGGATCCTGATGTACTTTACAAATCATTCTCTATGTGCAGATGTCATGGACTCCTATGAGCCTGGGAGCATTTGTTTCATTTCAAGGGGGGCTGAGGAAGTCACAGAAATCCTCTCAATAAATACATGTGGATTCATGGCCTTTTGGCACTGCCGCTTTGATGTGGCTTTTGATTTGGGGTTGCAGGGACATTTTGTCATGGCCTGAAAATCAAACCAAGCATCGTGCTCCACAGGCCCCCAAGCACACTGCTGGACTGTGTACGCATGTACCTAGTATCTGTGTGTTTTCACTTTGACATGACTGTTTTGATGCCTGACACTTTCATTCTATCCTGTGGAACTTTCCAGAACGTTTGGTGTAAATACTTGTTAGTCTCACTTAAATACCAACCATGGGCCCGAGTCTAACTTCGGTGGCAAAATGGCTTCAAATGAAGCAGAAGGCAGGGGATTACAATCTCAAGGGGATGCCAAGCGATACCAAAGGCTGCCTGAGAGATCCCTTCTCTAATTCAGAGACACACATGGCCTCCCTTTTTTGGCCATTTCTTGGTTTAGAGCTTCAGATGACTGGCTGGAGACGTGTTTAAAAATATCAAAAGATCCCAATGGAAACATTGACTTGTGGTCTATCCTTGTTAAAAAAGATCATTTTGATCATTTTCCCCTGCTGTGTCGTCCAAAGAGCCTTCCTGTCTGTCTTGCTTGGTGATTAGAGGAAGTGGGGTTTGTTGCTTGCTGACCAGATTGGCCCTCATCTGCTTGCTGCGAGCAGGCCTGTCCTACTTTCTTTTTAGACAGTCTGAGTGATCATCAGCCACACACATTATCAGCTAGTCAGGGGTTGCCCCAAAATGAACCAGATGAGTAGATAATTAGGTCACTAAGGGGAGACCAAGATGCTTATATTTTGGAGTAATATTTTCAGTTGGGTATTCTAACCAGACCATGAAACATCGTTCCTAATTTCATAGGATTTTGGTAGCAAGTGTATTAAGCAGCCTGTTACGAAAAAGTAAGTAGTTGTGTTTGGGTCCCTGGTCTTCAATCTGAGACTCTGGAAGCTAAGCTTGGTGTCTTGTTGGAACGGTGGTGCAAATAGGTAGGTCCTCTGAGTTCCATGTCACCCTTGTCACAAACTTGATGAAGACTGCGTGTCTCCGTGCTCTCTGCATGAAGGCACCACCTGCAAAGGTCTCATGCCAGGCCGCGAACACACGTTATCACGTTCATTTCCATGAGCAAGGCGTCAAGGCCTTCTTTCTACATACCACGCAGCTAGCAAGTGATGGAGGCATGATTTGAATCCCAGGTTCCCTCTTTCCAAAACCCACACTATTTCTATTATAACCAGTGATTCCAAACCACTGGCCTGCAGATTGATACTGGTTCCAAAGAAGGCTTTTCCAGTCTGTGGCGAGAAAGTCTGGGTAAGGTTAACACCCTCCCATCTTGAAGGCGTTGCCATTTATTTGGAGACTGTGACCTGTCTTTCTTGGTGTTAAAGACTGCAAAAAATTTGTAATCACATGATGGTGATTGGAAATGGCAGCTAACAAAAGTGTCTTAAGTTGTCAAAGTAAAAAAAAAAAAGGCCTTTTATGTCAATCTCCGAGCTTAAATTTGAAATCTTACTGGCCTGGCAAATGGCAAAGTTGGACAAAGAGGTGGTGTACTTATTACCCCAACAAGGGTTTCACTGCAGACTCTCCCCACAGCTTGGGTTCCCATGGGGTTTATCTGGAAAAGGGCTAGGCTGTATTGAGGGATGAAGGTGATCATGTGCTTCTTAAAGCCATCCTTCTTTGACGCTGAGGGGCATGACTCGGGCAGCTTAACAGAGTCCTGATAATGCAAATGACCTTTTAAAAACCACAGTAGATTGAATTAAAAACAAACAAACAAACTAGGTAAACCATCCTTTCCAAAAGAGAGGCAAAGCTTGGCCTACCCACATTTATGACTTTTCTATGACCAGGATGGGGAAAGCTTGAGCTCAGAGGCATTTTAATGTAGCATGACTTAGGTCATGACTCTTCTGACCTTAGGTCATTCAGACGTCACCGTTTTGCCATTGATACAAGAATGAAAGAGCTCAGGTTTTAGAGGCAGACATATCTGGGTTTATATCTCCATTTCTTTTAGCCTTGTGACCCTGAGCAAGTTTACTTTCTGGAAGACGGGGCAGGGATTCCTGCCTTCCAGAGTTACCATGGTAGGCAACTCTTAGGGAAAAACCTCACCACTCCTTGTGGTATGCCTTTTTTTTTTTTTAAGATTTTATTTATTTGAGACAGAGAGATAGAGAAGAGGAGGGACAGAGGGAGAGGGAGAATCAGACTCCCCGCTGAGCAGGGAGCCCGATGCAGGGCTCCATCCCAGGACCCTGGGGTCATGACCTGAGCTGAAGGCAGACGCTTAATGACTGAGCCACCCAGGCATCCCGATCTTTACCATGATGATCCAAGATGGTAGGGATAGACGTGCCTGGCACATGGATGTTCAGTGTGTCCTGGTGTCCTGCTTACAGATAAACTGGAATTCAGAGTACCCTGAGTTGCTCTGGTTTTTATTTTCCTACCAGTGGTTCCAGATACCCCGCTGTGCCTGGGGGAGGCCTGTTTCATCTGCTCTTGCCTGAGCGCCTCCGACTGTATCTGGGCAGCACCCAGCGGGCCCTAACCACTCCTTGTGCTCCTATCGCAGTGCCAACAACATGCCCAAGCAGGTGGAGGTACGAATGCACGACAGCCATCTCAGCTCAGAGGAACCGAAGCAGCGGCATCTAGGCTTGCGTCTGTGTGACAAGCTGGGGAAGAATCTCCTGCTCACGCTAACCGTGTTCGGTAGGTGACAGGTGCCGCCCCTCCTCCCTGGCTCTCTCCTGGCACTTTGGGGAAGCTGGGTCTCACAGCCAGCCCTCCCACTGGAAGGAAGCCTCGTGTCCTCCCTAAGGCCTCCTTTGCCCAGGCATGGCTGCCTTGATGATAAATCTTCCCCTCACCTGCCCCAGCCATGCATTTTCTTCCTTGGGATTCTAGTCGTTCTTACAACTTCCTGTGAGTGTGTTAACGTGCAGATTCCTGGCCCTGCACATGGAGAGCTTGGGCCATCTGCAGTGAGGTCTTGGAATCTGCATCCTAACAAAACTTCTAGGTGATTCCTAAGCAGATGGTCGGCATACCACATTTAGAGGAATACCTGCCTGAAGATAAAGGCAGCAGGTGCTGAAAACCCCACTAAGAGGGCTCCAGAGGTCTAGCCTACAAACACCTCATTACCTTCAATTAGCTTAGCACATTAGCTAATGAGGTCAGGGTGGAAGAGGCTTGTTCCGAAGCCTTGATCTGCTCTGGGTCCATCTCCAAAGTCTGATTCCTCTGCTTCAGACCTCGCCCAGGCTGTGGTTGTCCTTTGGTGTGACTGATGACACAATCTTGGTCTTAGCTTTTCAACCAGGGTTTATTGGAAATGGGGCAAATTGCAGGGTCTTGTAATGACAACCACACCATTTCCTCTCTTGAGCCCTCTTGTTTTTCAGCTCTCTCTTAGGCAACACACAGGAGCAATGAACAACTCCTCACCTCCAACCCTTTCCCCACTCAGCTCCCTGGCTTCTCCTCCTTTGGGTCCGTCATCTTGGACGTCAGTGGACCAGGGTCAGAACTGCGGGCTTGCCACAGTTCAGTTTACTTAGTGAAAGAAGACAGAGGTGTGGTAGGGGTTTCCAAAGCTTACTTTGGAATAAAGAAATTTCACTCATCGTAGGTCATCAAGAAGTATGTTTTTCTCTTGTAGAAGTAAAAAAAGATCAGGCTTTTGGCCACAGCCCTCCCTGCACATCCCTGGAGTTAACACCATAGCCCATGGACCTAGGAACTTCTGCCCTTCCTCTCAGCCAGTGGTGCTATGACCTGATTTGTGGTTTCATAAAAGAATCTTTTATGTTGGCTGCCTGTTTGCTGATATCCAGTTTGTCTTGTGGAATCCCCGAGGATGCAAAGTGAAAGGCTCCTGCCAGCAACTCTGCCCACATTGTTTCCTCCCAAATTACATACTTTTAGAGATGCCCCCTAATCTCCCATAAAAGTCTCCCACAAAAGCAAGTCTCAAGATTATGTAAGAGAACATAGAAGTCAAGGACAAAACTTCTTGAGAATGAGCCATGGGGAAATTGTTGGGAGCCAAAGAAAATAGAAAGAAAAAGGAAACTCACACTAGCTTGGTAAATCAAATGTTCCTCAGTTAGAAAGGGAAGAAATACATTAAGCACCTTGCCACTGGCCAGGCCTAGGCTGGGGGGTAGGAAGCAATATTTGGTACTATGGATTATTTCTGCTGACGATCTCTGATGGTACAAGTGAACAGTATCCTCAAAGAAGTTAGTCAAGTCACCATATATCTTCCTCATAAAGCCTTGAGAAGGCTCTCCTTGACCCTCCCCGAGCTGCTTGTTAGACTAGTTGGAGGTACACCAATATTCTCTCACCAGTCATTAAAATCAACTTTACTTATCCAATGGTATTTTCATTACATGTTATTCATCATCCAATAATGGGGAGGTATGAGAAAGGTCAATGTCACTGAACCTCTAGAGCTATTCATTTGACTCAGGCAAAACAGAAATTCAGATATTTCCCCCTCTCCCTTCTAGGTGTCATCCTGGGGGCGGTGTGTGGAGGGCTTCTTCGCTTGGCATCTCCTCTCCACCCTGATGTGGTCATGTTAATAGCCTTCCCAGGGGATATACTCATGAGGATGCTAAAAATGCTCATCCTCCCTCTCATCATCTCCAGCTTAATCACAGGTAAGACCACCTCTCTGGAGCCTGGCCCAGATCATACTCTTGCTCTGGTTTGTGGATTGACCATCGAATCTCAATCTGGTTGAATGAATGAATGTGATTGTCTGTGTCATTTTCTTTCAGAGCCTTGGTTGTCCTGTCTCTCAAATGGCGATTATCAATCCTAAAAGAAGTATTGCATCTGTTGGTCACTCTGACCATCTGTCTGTCTAGCAATAAAAGATGAAAAGGAAACACATGTTAAAAGTGATGCTAAACGATAGAGATTTTAATTTTGAATGCATACTTTTCTCATTTTCCAAGTTATACTTTGTTCAGATACTGATAAATAAAAGTAACAGGTAGAAAAGGAAATTTTCTCTTAACTATTTAACTGGGTATAGAGGGAAGTGGGTATGAAAAATAAAATAAAGCCTAGATATGAAACCCTTTGAGGTTTTTGGAAGAAAAGCTCCCTTAATGTGTAGATCATGTTCACTTGTTTTGGGCTGAAAGAATTGTTTTATTTGAAAGAATATTTTTGCTTCTATGGGCTTATACTGGCAGTTTTTTCCTTATCAAATGATATTGCTCAAATAGGGTATAAATTGATGTAGTTTAGAGACTGAGCTCTGAGTTAAGGATGAAAGCTAGACTTTGATTGATATTTGGGTGCCATCGGGGTGACCTTAAGAAAGCCGTCCCTCTGAACTCTCCCCCTTATAAAGGAAGTGAGGCTCTGGAAACATCAAGAGATTCAGATGCTAAGCCAGGTTGTTCTAGAGTCTCATCTCTGGTCGACCAGTGAGCCTGGTGAATGCAAGGTCTCATCATTTGGCCCTAGACTGAGCGACACTGTACTTTCACCTTAAAGGCTCCTTTGCAAACCAGAGAAAATGTTCTCCATGCCCGCTTAACAGTCCTTAGACTGGGCAAACTGGCCAGGAAACTGAGCATCTGTTGGCCAGAATCCGACTTTAGGTAAGGAGAAGTGGCTCATATATGGATCAGCTCAATTCAGGAAAGCTTACAACAATGACTTCCTCCCCCACAGCAAGTGCTATAATGTCTCTGTCTAGTAAAAGCAGAAACTGAAACCAGGAAGTAGAAAAATTGAAGAAACAACTGGGAAAAAACCCAGTGAGGGTAGGAGTTTTTGTGACTTGGCTTGGAATTTCCTTTAACAATCACAGGACCTCCCAGAGTATAGACAAAGTCCCACCTTTGTGTTCTCTAGTGTCTGCACTAGGTTGGAAAATGTGGGTCTCCACCATGCTTCACCTCGGAGGAATGAGGGCTGTGCTAGATCACTATGCTAGACTCTTGATATCAATCACCAGACCTACTGGCTTCTCATTTTTTAATTGAGGACATTAAAAAAAAAAAAAAAGTAGAAACCAGCAGGTACTAGCACCAAAACTTCATAAAGAAAGGATATCTTAATACCAAATAAGTGGGAAGCACATCATCTCAGAATTAAAAATGGAATGTATTCAACTTGAACTCACTATTGCGGACTGACGAAAAGTAGTCACCGATCAGTTTATAAACTCTGAACAAGCGAGATCAGGTTTATAAACTTTGAACAAGAGATCGTCAACTCTCCCCAGTTCTCTAGAATCTAAAAAAAAAATAGAACTGTAAACTGTAGGATTGAAATCTTTAGTAGGAGGAGGTTTAATCAACCATGAATGCATCTGAGTAATACAAAGCCATATTATAGGTATGCAGAGATGTGCAGTTAATGGAGACATCACAGGATTAATCCTTCCAATGTCTTTTCAATCCAGGGTTGTCGGGCCTGGATGCTAAAGCCAGTGGGCGCTTAGGCACAAGAGCCATGGTCTATTACATGTCTACAACCATCATTGCTGCCGTGCTGGGGGTCATCCTGGTCTTGGCTATCCACCCGGGGAACCCCAAACTCAAGAAGCAGCTGGGGCCCGGGAAGAAGAATGATGAAGTGTCCAGCCTGGATGCCTTCCTGGACCTTATTCGAAATCTCTTTCCTGAAAACCTGGTCCAAGCCTGTTTTCAACAGGTAACCCAAAGTTCCTATGCTCTTGCCCTCCAGCCTCCGAAGTTATCAGGATAATAACTTGGAGAGTGTTTCAGTGAACCAGCCCTGGGGAGCAGTTTTCTTATATTTAATTATCTCTCTCGAGCTTGTATGAGATGATTTGGAGCAGGATTTGGGGATTAAAGTCGTGGGTTTTTTTTGTTTTGTTTCTGTTTTTTCGTTATTAACCTTCCTTTTTTTTTTTTATTCCAGCTCACTTAGCATCTCTTTGCTCTGGGATTCCCCTTTCTTGCCTTTTTTTTTTCCCCCCCATTACCTCTTTCCTTATTTTTTGGTTCCCCTCTGTGTGCTGTCGAAGGGCACATTTTTATCACTTTTGCACACAACCCTCTAGAGTGCCCAGGGGGTCTCAGTAGTGGTAGTATAGCAAAACCTCATGGGGTAGATTTAAAAAATACACATGCCCTACAGAATCAGAATCTCTAGTGTGGGCCCAGGGAGTGGGTATTTTCAAATTGTGGAAGTAATACATGAGGGTTGTAAAAAGTTTAAACAGTGTAGATGCACCTAAGGAGTCAAGTCCTCACTTCCCTTCCCTAGAACTAGTCATGTTGGGAATTTTGTTTCCTTCCACATATATAGTATGCATGTGTGCATGATCTTTTTTTAAAGATTTATTTATTTATTTATTTTAGAGCGAGAGAGAGAGCAGGAGAGAGTGTGTGAGCATGGGGAGGGGCAGAGGGAGAGAGAGACCCCAGCAGACTCTGTGCTCAGCTCAGAGCCCGATGTGGGGCTCAATCTCACAACCCTGAGATCATGACCTGAGCCCAAACCAAGAGTCAGACGCTCAACCAACTGCCCCGCATGTGTGCATAATCTTAAAAAAAGAAAGAAGTTCAACCCAAGGGGTATTGCATTACACATACCACGTTGCACTTGTTTTTCATTTAACAGGGCTCCGGCATCATCTCTCTCTCTTTTCATGATTGTGTAGTATATCTAAAAAATAAATTCTTGGATGCTAATGTCTTCCCAAAGAGTTTTGTATTTCAGATTTGCTGGATGTTGCAAAATGGCTCTACAAAAGTTTGTATTAATGTACACTCCTACCAACTGCATACAGGCAGATCAATTTTTTAAAGCCTTATGATTTTAAAAAATGGATGATTCTAATGAGTGGAACCACTGAGAGAGCTGCCAAGGCCCTACTCACCAGCCTGTTGTCTAGACCCAAGGTCGTTAGGTTAGAATATACTCCAGTTCCCATTAGTCCAGGTAGGAAGTCACCTAGAACCAAAGAACCTGCTCCAGCCATTTGCAGGGCATCACAGAAGAACGAACTTAGGAAACAGGCTGCCTGGAGGAAAAGTTTGCATTCCCAGCTGCCCCCAAAATGCTGTTGCCAACCATTGCTGAGCCCGAATGACTCTGGGTTAGGATATGTTCTCTGATTTCCAGTGCCACTTTGCTGGCCCTTATAGCACGGAGTCATGTTAAAGAAAAGCGTTTCATGGATAAAGAAGATGTGTGTGTGTGTAAGTATATATACACACACAATGGAATATTACTCAGCCATCAAAAGGAGTAAGATCTCACCATTTACAACAACATGGTTGGACCCAGAGGGTATGATGTTAAGTGAAATCAGTCAGTCAGAGAAAGACAAATACCATATGATTTCACTTGTAGATGCAACCTAAAAACCAGGACAAATGAATAAACAATAAACAAACAAAAAGCAGAAGCAGTCTTATAAATACAGAGAACAAACTGATGGTTGGCAGATGGAAGGGGGTGGGGGATGGACAAAACAAGCAAAGGGGGGTGGGAGACACAGGCTTCGGGTGATGGGATGAGCAAGTCACAGGGAGGAAAGGTACAGCGGAGGGAATATAGTCAATGCTACTGTAGTATTGGGTGGAGACGGAGGGCAGCTTCACTTGGGCTGAGCAGGGCATAATGTATCAACTTGTCCGATCACTATGTTGTATGCCTGAAATTAATGTAATCTTGTGGGACAGCTATACTTCAATAAAAAAATAAAAATAAAATAAAATAAAAAATAATAAAGAGCAAAACAAAAAGCCTCCAATGAAAAAATAATAATAACAAAAATAAAGGAAACCATTTCAGCCGGGGAGGTTGGTTGGGGAGGGAAGAGCAGCAGGCCGGGGAGGGGTGCTTCCTGCTGCTCCCTCAGTAGAGCATGCTTGCCCCCCTTGCCAGCCCACTTTGAAAGATGCATTTGCCTGCTCTGGGGAGATGGACACAACCGGGAGTCCAGTCTACTGTTAACATTTTGAAAAGAGCACTCTGGAAGTGTAGCTGTGGAAGTGGGGATGGGGGGATCAGGGCCTCCTTCTTGGGCCCCGTCGTGCCCATGCTCCATACAAGGAGACCCCTTCATCCCAGTCAGCGAGGCAGGACTGAAGCAGGCAGGCACCTGGAGCCGTTGCTCTGGTCTGCGGTGAGCCGTGCTCACACATGTGTTGCCGTGCTCACCCTCGGTGACCTGTCTGGTCAAAAGGCAGTCTTGGCATGGAGCTACCCACGGCAGGGCCACTGGGGGCTGAGCCATTCCCTGCCCTGCCCCCACCCTGGACCCACCCCTCTGCTGGCAACATGCATGAGGCGTGAACCCTTAGTCCCCCAGCGAAGCCCAGTGTCATTGTCCCTTTGAGTTAGGACAATCAGGAAAAATTGTGTAGAATCTTATTTTTATTTATTTATTTATTTTTAA